TTCATAAAAATTAACATATTTATATATTTTAATATTTAATTTTAACAAACATATTAATTTTAACAAATATTTAATATAAATATTAATTTTAATATTTAATTTTAATAAATATTTCATAAGTTTTATTTATTAATTTATTTTCAAAAATTCTTTCACATTCTACCAGATTCAACTGTTACCGTTTACATTCAACATTATTCCGTTAGATTCCGTAAATAGTTACCCAAAATTCTGTTAAATTCCGCAATTCTGCCAAATTATGCAGTTACCATTTACACTCATAGTGGTGGTTATTACTCTAAAATAAATGTGGACAATCTTATATGTTGGAGCTAAGCTATGTTGCCGACGTCAATAAAGAAAAAAAGCTATGTTATGTTGTATGGTGCAGAAAATAAAAATATTACGTTTATATATTACGTTTTGTAATGCTTTATTCTATTCTTATAAAGACCTACCAGAAATTAACGTTTATATTTAATACATACGTTTGTAATACATTTATATTCTTATAAAAATGATTATGTACACTTATACCACATAATCATTTTAGTTTGGCTATGATTCTCATTAAATTTTAACCTCAAGCTCATGTAAGATAAATTATGTAAGAGTAGTTAATGCTTCTGTTTGATATATTAACCAGTGATGTTAAGAAACTTTGCAGATTTACTAAAGATGACATATAGGCTGACGATTTTGGTTACCTCAAGCTCGTGTTTTATAACTATTTTGTCTTTCTGTTTAGCAAAAAAAAAAAACTATTTTGTCTTTTATATGTTAGTTTGTAAAATTGTGCAATTACATTGATTTCAAAAACAAAGAATACAAGTAAATTAGGAGATAAAAAAGAATTCAAAGAGAAAGTAACATATTCATAGGAGATAAAAAATAACTCAAAGAAAAAGTAACATACTCATTTCACATGAAAACATCAAACCATAACATGAACTTGTAAAAAAAAAAAACGTAAGGAAAATCATTCATTCTTCGATACTTTTTATATAAATATAGTTAACTTAACAACTTGGAGAAAATGTGTTAAAATTAAAACACTAACAAAATACTTTTAATCATAACCAAAACGTTACCTTTTTCTTTAACTTCGACCAAGATGTGTTACTTATCTTTTCATTTTTTTATAATTTAGTTAAATGTAGGTGATCATTTTTCGATATATCCGATAATAAATTAGTATTGGTTTAAACAAAGAGTGAAAACAAAAATATTATCCGAGGTAATATAAACAGTCTAATTAAAACAATCTAAAAAGTTTTATGGAAACCTACCATTGGACAACCATGCATGTTGATAATAGATTAATGATGGGGTGAGGGATCTAAAGAGTCGCGAAAAAAAATGATCGATGAGATGTTATAATTTTTCTAGAACCAGAATGATACAAAGAAATCAAAATGCCATAAAATATTATAAGCCTAAAGGTAAATCGAGACAATATGCATGATTTTCTCTTTAAATAAACGTACGAATGTATTAAATATCTCTCCATGTAATTAGAAACAAAATATAAACTCGACTTCTCTATGTATCCTCGAGGCAGTGCAAAGTTGATTACTAGGTTAGAAGCTTTAACCAAGATTGACTCTTGAATTTTTGTTTATTACACCAAATGTAAAAGATAGTAATAAGTGGGTCCAAACGGTCTTACACACGTATCATTTATAATTATAATGTAATAATTGTAAATTCAAAGAAAATAGAAAAATAATATTATGACCCGTCCCTTTGTTTGGTTGCCCCGTTCGTGTATTTGCTTGGCCGTTGGTGATCCCATGCGCCACTTAGTCTCCAAAAGTCTTCTCTCTAATCTCCTTTTTAGAGCTATCAATCTCTGTTTAGTTTATGTTTAATTGCGCTTTATCTTCTTAATCGTCATGTAATCCATAAATATCTTCGAGATATATACGTTCTCGACTTAATTAATGTATCTTCTTCTATATTAATCAACAATATGCTCATAGATATATGTTTATTATAGCTACCCACCGGATTCTCGAGCTCCATTTTCTTACGATTACACTAACGTTTGACGTTGATTTTAAGAAATTGAAGTCAAGATAAACAAAATCTGTTTGCGAATATGCTGATTAATACCCCTTTCTGTAATATATACACACACGTAATGTAACTTAATCTTGAGTCCTATACGTAAGTATTTTGCATTCATTAACGTATAAAATTTTGACCCAAGACATTAGCTAGTTTAAATGTTATTTTGTCTTTGATGTATTCGCATCATATCAATTAATATAAACCAATGTTCTTTGTCATATACTATTTGCGAAATGTAACTACCATTGTTCTTGTTTAAATTTTGAAGTGAACTATTTTGTTGTGGTGACAAATTGATAGAAAGAAAAAAAAAACATTTTAGTGCTCAGATTGTAAATGCAAACGTCTCCAAAATTTTAATTGTGTTATATGTACAATATCCAGTGTGTATATAGAATTCCAAACATATATAAAGTTCTTAATTATACCAAAAAAATTATAATCTACATATAATTTTTTTAAAACTGGTTAGATCGTACGTTAAATAGAACATTTTTTTTTAAAACAATAAAACATTGTCCATAGATAAAGTAGACAAGTAGTGACTGACAAAGAAGAAAGCACGAGTTTAGCGTTGTTGTACAACGAGACCATTTTGGTAGCTTCAAGGGAAGGTTTATGTATCTCAGTTCGATCAAAAGGGAAGGTTTATCTTTTTTTTTTTTTTAAACCGGGAAGGTTTATCTTGCCCATAGATACTCGACCATTTTTTTTT